AGTCTTGGTGGCTTCCACTGGAAGATGGACGTTACCCTGGGGGACCTGGGTACCAGCCGCAGCCAGGCGATCTACTTTGTCATTGAGGAATAGGCCGCAGTGACTGCTAACCCAAACAAGGTGGATGCTGCTAACAAGCTGGTTAATGCCTTTATAATAGAACTAGAACTGGAAAAAACGGAAGGAAAAAGGTAATAGATGGGAGAGCAACAGAAAGAGAGGAAACCCAGAAAAACAGAACGAGAACATGACTCAGTGACCGATTCCAACGCCGGTGTCATATAGTAGAATGACCCCCGTAGTGGAAGGCCCCCCCCCCCCCGGTCATTGTACTATATAGTAGATTGCCCCCGGGGTCACTCTACTATATAGTACCACGACCCCCCTCGGCCGCTAAGTTCCGAAGGTAGTACCTATTCTCATAGCGACACTTCGACACAAGCTCACTCCTTTTGTTGAGAGAGAGGTGCTTGTATCAATGCACCTATCACACACACAATAATCCAAAAGGAGCAAGGAGCACACAGAAAACGCAAAGGAACACTGAACTTGCAAACTTTCTTCCAACTCCAAAACAAAAACAATCCAACACAAGGTGGGATGTTCATGTCTCCTAAAGAGGAAAAGTGCGCGACCTATTTACAAATGTTGTGGACTTTTCACCACATATTCCCACAATCAAGAGTACATAACCCCGGACTCTTGCCACAATCCATAATGTCCACGTGGAATCTGTGGTGTAAACTCCATCCCTTTCTACCTGCACGTGCGAAACGACAAGTCTGGTGGACTCTGTAGTAGAATGACAGGGGGCAATCTACTATATAGTAGAACGATCCCCCGATTATAGTAGAGTGACCCCGGGGTCACTCTACTATAGTACAATGCCCGGGGGGTCCATCTGCTGGGGGGTCATTCTACTATAGTACACCGGCACCGTCATCATGCGACATGTACGGGAGCCTCGCAGACGCATGTCCAATTAATTGTCCACAGCGCTGAAAATGGCGAACTGAGTGCGCGCGCATACCCAAGTCATCATGGTGGCCGAGAAGGGTTTCTCCCACTTCGCTGCTTTAAGGCCCGGTCACACCGAAACAAGCCACTTTGGGCTTGTCATCGCTGGCGCTCAGCTGGCTTGCGTGGTCCCTGTGACGCGGTCACACCAGACCTTGAGTGCAAAGCTTGAATGGCTTGTTTTTCTTACCCGCCAAATTTTGAATAATCTCGAAACACACCAATGTTTGCAAGAAACCGGAAAGCAGAACGTTCGCGATCTAAAGCTGTACTTGTTCCAGTGTTCAGTTTTGATGAAGAAGCAAAGGAAGCCCGGATTCTGAATTGCGAAGTCGTGCTCTTTTTATTTGTTCGGCGTGCATGGACGCGATGGTTCGGGTGGTGTTTCCTGATGTCGAGCTTTCTGCCCCGCCGGTTGCCGTTCTTGAACTCAGTTGCAATCCACTCTCTTCTTCGTACCCGGCTTTCTTCATGAATTCGGTCGTGAGTGTGGTGCCTTGTCTTGGCCTCAAACCACAGCTCCAACAATCTACGCAGCAATCTAGAGGCACAGCGGCAGAAATCCATGGTCGTCGGACAAAATCCAAATCAAACTGAATACAGTGTAGTTGGATAGACAGACTCACGGTCAAAACCAAAGGCACAGGGATAGCACGGTTCCACGGACACAAGAAAGAACATCAATATCAGTTCATCATGTCAACTAGCTACATGGTGTGCTCCGAAGCTCCAAGCGCACTCAAATTATTTTTTGAATTTCGGCTTTCAGCCGCTTGTACAAGCTGTGGCTGAAACAAGCCGAAAAAAAACCGGCTGAGAGTCAGCCACGGCTGAAAGTCGCTTGTAGGACATTTTTCAGCTATTTCCATGGTAATAGTGACGTAAACAAGCGCTTTTTTGGCTGAACGGCTGAATCGAGGTCGGTGTGACCGCGTAAACGGCTGGCGAAACGCTTCTGGAAAGCACTGTACTCACGGTGGAGGACAGCATCAGTGGAACACACCAAAGGAGTACTTATTTTTTATTCCCGTAGCTATGCAGAAGACGTTACTTCAGTAACGTCTGGCGCTAGCCAGGGTCCACACAGCTTTAATTTGGTGTTTGTTTGTCTTTGTATGTTCTCTGCCCTCATTTTGCCTATCCTGTTGTATAACTGCGGACTGTGGGCCTTGACACAGCAACTCAGTAATCGGCTGGACGCATGGCACCGCAGAAAATTGCGGTACCTGCTTGGTGTGGTGTACCCTCACCACATGTCGAATGCCAAGGTGTACGCCTCAACGCGACAAGGCCCAGTCAGCACTACCTGTCGCAGACGTCGGCTGCTCTGGCTGGGCCATGTTGTTCGCGAAGGACGTAACTCAGCGTCCTACCAAGCAGTGGAGATGGCAATTAATACCCGGGACATCAAGCGCCCACGTGGCCGACCCCATCTCAGATGGATTGACAATATTAAAAATGATCTAAAGCACGCCAATATTGATATTTCTGACTGTTTTGAACTGGCTCTAGACAAGAAAGAATGGCTGATGCTTGTGGAAAAATGTGCTGCGCTTGCGTAGTTGTTCTTACTGCGATGCGTTCTTACAATAATGAGATGCCTTTTGTCTGCTCTTCTGCCTGGATTTCGTTGACAGATGCGTTGGGCCCATGGATCCTTCCATGAGTGACATGCGAACTGTAACTATTATTATTATTATTATTGTTTGTTTGTTTGTGTCACGCCTGGCGCTATCCCGTATCTGTCCCGTACCGTACCGTACCAGCAAAGACAGCTGGCCACAATATTTTTGTTTGTTTGTGCCATCGACATGCCTGGCGCTATCCCGTACCTGTCCCGTACCATCAAGAGTACGGTCAAGAGTACGGTACCATCAAGAGAATGAGTATATATGCGAAGTGTATCGGGGGAATGCATTCAGTGCAGTAACATTTTGTGTGGATTTGTGTGCGAGGCCGAGATCCCACTAGCAGGCTGGCTGGGCCGCCTGTCGACCAGCCCGGGAATCGCATGTAGGCGGATAGCATAATAATTATAATGTATATACAGTCATGTAGATGTGTATAACAGGGCGTCATATTATGTAAACGACTCCCTGCTGTATGGGGAGATTTTCTGGAAAGAAATACGAAGTGGGGAGACGAGTAAATGCAATTAGAATGGATGTTAGTTGCCGTCAGTATAATAATAATAAGAAGAAGAAGAAGAAGAACGCCCGTGATCGGCAGAGTCAGCGCCGGTCCCAGGAAATGTCAGAACAGACATCCCGTCGACTCCAGAGCGCCCGTGATCGGCAGAGTCAGCGCCGGTCCCATAGCTATGCAGAAGACGTTACTTCAGTAACTCATTGAAACGTTTTTGCAATACAATGATGTAGCTAATCAAAGGAAAAAGCATTTCCATCAGTTCTAACCACATGCACGATGAGCTAGGCAACAAAGCATAGCGCAGGGCCCTGAGCTTCCAAGCTCTCTCGTTTTTTTATTTTATGGATTCCCCAAAGGCCGAGGCCTAAGACGAGGCCTAGGGGATCTCCGTTCATCGCTTAGTGGCGATACATGTATATCTGCAAAATTATAACATATAGATTGAGAAGAGGAAGGGTTATAACAAATACAACACGCTCCGCTCATTTCCCCACTCCCTCATCGCAACGTGGAATCAGCTCCCACCTACCCTTCTGCAGTCTCCCCCTTCTCGCAGAGGTATGCACACGTTCAAGAAAAACGTCAACGACCACTTGCGGCGCAGCAAGTGGGAGTGGGCCACAGACAGGCTATGATCTCTCCATAGCAGCCAACACACCAGCCTAATTATACTGACCGCACTCCAGCTCCCTTCTACCCCTCTTTGATCCTCTTCGCTCAGCCTTAAAATCCGATTATCAGTTCTCACCATCTTCCTACGGTGCACTTCTTTTACTATTGTTTTGTCTCATCTCAATCTCAAATTCTCCCCATTATCGTTTGCAAAGCCGGTGCTTCCCTCTTGGATGCACATGTTTCTTTTCTCCTATGTATCGGCGCACAGGAGTAACGATGATTCCGAGACCTTTGGTCGGAGGAGTTACTTTTGCCCCGCCCCCACTTCCATCCAATATGCCACCGCCCCCGCTGTGCAGCATCTGATGGTACTGTGGTATTCAGTAAAAAGAGAAAAAATGCCCACTGTAGAAATCAGCCATAACATTCTTTACAATGTTACAGAAACTCTGGAAGGAATGAAACCAGCGGGTTCAAAGCGGGTGTTGGCAAAGATGGTACGGACACGAGACACAAAGCAATGACTATTTTGGGTGGTTCTAATGTCAGTGGGGAGAGAATTCCAGGTGGCAGCGGTAACAAAGAGGAAAGTGGCACGCGAGTAGGTGTTCGCCCTGGCAGGCGGGACAAGTTGGAGAGGGCACCGCGCGCTGGTGGAGAGACGAGTAAAAGAGCCTGGTAGCGGCATGCTTGTATTTCCGCTTCTTTGCTGCAGCTGCTTTGTTGGCGGCATTCCAAGACAGGTTGGCGGCCTGGGCATAACTGGGTGCGTCAGCATCTACGATGCGGTTATCGAAAAAATAGTTTGTGTCCGGTCCATTCGCTGTACGGTACCGTACCGTGATAACGGATCTCCAACATTGCCAGAATTTCTTCAAGAACCGCCAATCTAGGTCCTTCAAATAGGGAAAGGGTGTGAAGGAATGTCAAGATGAAAAACCACGACGACGCGCCTCCTTGAAACACGAAAAAGAGCGCCGTCGGCTTTAATGTAGAAACATGACAAAGTGAGCTATGTCACATGTCATCTTCGTCGCTGATTGGCCTGCAAATTTTGAGTCATGAGTATGACTCTGCCGTATACGACAATGAAACTGAAGCGCATACGGTAAAATACGCACGGGGAGTACGGTAACCGTACGGGATAGTAGGCCTAGGGAGCAGCAGCGAGTGCCGCAGAAATTTTGCGATTCTGACGTCGTCACGTCAATCGACGGCGCTTGCAGTGAGTGATCGGGAAAATTGCAAAAGTCGACACCCGCTAATAAGCTCCGCTTTTATTTGCCTCGCGGAGGGCATCGATCAGAATCTTTCGGCGTACAGTTGCTTTTGCACATCCTGTCGACGGACGTCCCGGACGTGGAGCGGCGGAGTTCGAGGCATTGCCCTCGATTTTCGAAGGCAGCGCGAAGCCCGGAGCTGTCGAGGCCGTGAATATCCGCGGAGACTTCACTACCGCTAGCCTGCATGCTTTATCGACTCGAGACGGAAGTGTGGAAATGAGGGTGAGTGTTGCTGTTGCTTTATTTATAGTGGGAATCAATAATAATTATTATTAGTGTTACTTAGTAGTAGGACGATAGCAATAACCGTGCCATGAACCACAACCTACTCCCTGCTTGTGGCCAAAGCTACATTCGGATTCCTAGCTGTGGGCTCTTGCAAGTTTTGGCCCCGCACCACCTTTGCAAATCGGCAGTGACATTGTAGAATGTGAAAGTCCAGGATGCCCCGCGTGCAGGACTGTAAAATTGTTCGTTACGCTCGCTGTAATCCGAGCCCAGGTGCAGAACTGGTGCCCTCACCAGGGACCAGTTCCGATGTATATGATTGTACTGTACTGTATTTGCACATATTCACGGCCTGCCGCATTCATACCACTTCTAGGGTTTCATGGGCGTGAAAGTTGAAGGTGCAAATATGCACTTCAGGTTGGATTTTGAGAGCGCAACTGTACATGTAGGCAATAAGGAGTTAACTGCTATGGCTGGTTCCATCGCTACCGGCAACAGTAGAGGTTGGGTGCGAAAAAGAGTACATGAAACCAGAGTGTGCAGCTCGGATGGGTTGCTGTCACGGCGAAATTCCATGATTACATCATTAATTTTTAGTAATGTAGTGCGTACAAGCAGGATTCAAGCAGGTCTCCTTCCGCACAACTGCAGCTCAGTTGTACGCACTACGCCATTTCCCGACACAGATCTGTGCCAAATATGATGTAATCACGGAATTCCGCCGTGATAGACACCCATAGTAGAAAAAGCCCCAAGCTGCACACTCTGGTTTTCATGTACTCTTGGTGCGGACATGTGGAAAAACGGCCTACATGACCATTAGAGGTTCTGCAATACGTGAAACGTAGAGAAACCACGTAGAGAGCAGGTGTCTGGGTAAGAGTCTACGGCTTCGCGTGTTTTGGCTCCAGATTTCTACGCGGAGATGGGGTTCTCTACGTTGTGGCACACGCAGAGAAAATGCGTACGGATTTGCTGGGTATCGATCAACTGCATGCAGAAAACTGCCAAATATGGAAGGGGAAATTCCCAGTACACATTCCACGTGACTTCTCTAGGTGAAACGTAGAGCAGAACAGCATTTCTTTACGTTTACGGAAACGCGAAGAAAGTTCGCATGATTCTTTGCGTCGCGTTTTCAACACGTAGAGCAGAACCTCCCTAATATCAAGAGTACATAACCCCAAGAGTGTGCAACTGCCTGCACAACCTCTATGCAGTGCTGTCGCAGACCCCATAGCTGGAGTTGCACGCTCTTGGGGGTTATGTACTCTTGCCATTATGCACAGCACTTCTCCCACGTGTGTGCAGAGATGCACATTTTCAATCTACTACAGTGCTGCTACTCAATGAAATCCAGTCACGTCACTCAAGTACTCTCCGGGCGTTGAGCAGCCATAGACCTGCGAACACAAGGCTGCGAAATGGTGCAAGGCGCAAACTCGAGCGATGCGACGCGACTGGATTTCATTGAGCAAGATTGTACATGACTTCTGTACATTCCTATCTCTTTTATCCGGGCGTTCACCCATAACTTGGAAATATCCGTAGCTCTGAATCACTTGCACGCAAGTTGATTGCCAAGTGCTGGAGATCTGGCATATGGCATCACTACTTTCACAAAACAAAGTGCAAATGAGTAGTAATATATCCACTAAAACTGGCCCACAGGGTGCCCGAGGTACTCATAAAATTGTGTCCGGATGAGAGTGATATGAGCGTACAGTGCGTATCAGATGTAGTGTGGTCGTGTAAAAGAATATACTGCCTACTTTGAAGTACAAGAATGAACTCTCCTATTTTCATAATCATAACATTGGAGTCAAATGAACATTAATTTTATTCTTACAAGCAATGTTATCGCATAGTAGTATATCGGTCCTAAAAATGGACTTTGTGTAGCAAAATATGGCAGATTAGTACAAAGTGTATCGCCTGTAGTAATAACATCTGTCCTATCCAACTCTCATCTGACTCACATTGCGTCGTAGTGCTGCAGGTTCAACTGTTGCTGTCATGTAGTTCATGTTGCATAGCCACATGGTAAGCCTATGAGACTACGAACAGTCGCATGCACACTTGCACAGTAGCACTACGTTTCGTGTACCATGGCATTCCTGCCTCTGCGCCGCACATGCATATGATATGCCACACTTGATTTATCGTGTGTAAGAAATATCGGAGATAAGAATGAAAAGTCGTTTTTCAAACACCATCGCTATAACCGATACGCGCTGTATATGTAATCTGATCAAGCTAAGCCACCCTCACACACTAGCCCTTGCCGAAATCGGCTAGCGAATTGTTAAGCAGAAAACCGGAAGTTTTCCGAGCATAGCATAATCTGCTTTAGTGGCAGATATTGGCATATTTTGGAATAGTTTAGCATTACAAGTAAACGATCTATGAATCTAGTTGAGGCCTGGAGCGGCGGATGTCCGAGGGAGTCGGAGACTTCACTCGCCTTCCACCGGAAATGATCCACTGCACGGGGATGCTGCCTTCCCTCGCTTGTCGAAACGGTTCAAGCAGAGCAGCATCAGTGCCCTCGTGCCCCGCTGGTCAGGGTCACTTACTGCTTGCTACAACCAGCGTCTCGTCACCCTTTCTCTTCAATCCCTCACGGCTCAGCCAAATCATGTTCGCTGTGGACTTAGACAAGCTTGGGCACTGACCTAAGATTGTTATTCGCCGCCTTCAATTTTCCCAAATAAAAGGGGGTTTGTCAACTGACAACCGCTCTATTCAGTTGCTATTCACTCTTGGCGCATGCGCTAGATGAGAAAATCTATCATTAGTGATGTCGAAAAAATTATTGACGTTACAGACCAGTCACCCATTGTAACAGGTAGCCGAGTTGTAGGCGCGGTGAGGTCAACAAGAGTTAGTTTTATTCTACTTCTCTCAGGTACACACCTGGGATATAATTATTAGTAAAAGAAGAAGCGGCAAATAAATGGAACTTTCTCTCTGGTGCACACCTAGAGGTTGACTACTTCTTCTTCGAGTTACCTTTGTCGTTGCTATGAATCTAATCAAAATAGAAATGCACAGCAGCTTTTATGCAGCAGACGCCGTACGCTTACATACGGAGACACACCAAACATACATCAGGCAAAGCTCCGTATTCGTTCCGTACTACTTCCGTATTAGCCAGGCAGGGATACTACAGCCATCGTCAAAACAATCTACACGGGGCGAACCTGGCCTTTTCAATTATCCCCAAAGAAAAGGGGGTTATCAACTGACAAAGCCTTGAAAACACCTTTTAGATACCTGTTTCTCTTCACGACAGCTCTATTACTGAACTCAATCTTACCAGTCTGCACAGCATTGCATGGCAATGAACTTAGGGACAAGACCAACATGACGACAATCCAGGAGAAAAAGCAGCTGTTGCCAGTCCCAGGGAGCCCTAAACAGCGAGCTACTGAAGCATTCATTCAGAAAGTTGTGTACATCACGCAACTGCATTATGCAGAAAGGGGGGTTTGTCACCTGACACAACCGCTCTATTCAGTTGCTATTCACACTTGGCGCATGCGCTGGATGAACAATTCTATATCTGTGATGTCGAGAAATTATGGCGATTTGGGCCAGTCACCCATCATCAGAACAATGTACAAGGGGCGAACCTGGCCTTTTATAACGAAAGCAAGTGAGAGCGCACGGCAGGAGCGGAAGCAGCAGCTTGAGGATTCTGTGCCATTTCCGGTGTCGTGTATATAAGGATAACAAACAAACAAGTAGGACTTCGCAAGCAACACGGGACGCGTTTGAGGACTAAGCCTACGCTATAGCAACAGTTCAAGTACGGCGAGCAGTGCAAGAAAGACTGGCAACGAAGAGCTAGCTTAGGGGACAAGACTACGAATAGATCCAACAAAGCAAGCCTAGAAAATACTAGCAGTACAAAAATGTAAATATTAAAATCGTAAATTGGCGCGGAACAAAGTTACTCAGCTTGAGTTGAAAGGAGAACGGCAACGGCAACGTTCACTGCACGGCGAAATAACGAGGCGTGGTTCCGGAAATACTGCGACTGACGAACACAGAGCTAACACCGCTGCCACCAAATGTAGTACGCAACCGAGTGACAAGGCAAAACTGATTCAGTCTCTCCCACTCAAAGCACAAGTAGTATTCTCAGGGAACAATATTGCACGAAAAGACGAACATAGGTAGCACAGAACTTATAGCATTGAAAGACTCAAGTGAAGGGAAGACGACAGAAAACAACGGAAGCAAAGACTCTGCAGCAACTGAGCTGGGGAACTGACAGACGGACCTATATACGGTACGAGATTGTCAGTTACAACTCCGAGCGCTAGCTAGCAATCTCTAAATGAAAGCAAGGGATCTGATGGTGCCAGCAATGCATAGTGCAATGCATAGTAATACATGGTGAGATTTGTGTAGGGGAAGTCCGTCTACTACAGTATGTAAGACCGACATGAGCAACAATCTAGCCAGGAGAAACAACAACTGTTGCCTCGTTCATTCAGCCTTGTACGCGCTCTTAATCCATTCCCAGTGAGTCCTAAACAGCGAGCTAATGAAGCGTTCACTAGGAAATTTGTAGACATCATGCCACAGGATTATAGAAAGAAGTTGTCTTGACAACCACTCTATGTAGTTGCTATTCACGATCGGCACATGCATTGCGTTGAAAATTCTTTATTCTGACGTTGAAAACATTGTGGGGTTTCGGGCCAGTCACCCATCGTCAGAACCCTACCAGTACCTTGATGATCCGTCTCTCCGGCATTGAGCATTCTGAGGGCAACAGAACAAACGACCTCTTTAATTACAGTCCCTCCGTCTGCCTATGCTCTATCTCTGTCTCTCACTATTATTGCAGGGTGGTACACAGTGCTATGTTGCAGCGCTACTGCTGTTGCTGGTGCTGTTCGCGAGTCAAGAATGTCATTCCCAAGGAGCTCGCCGTAAAGGGGGTAGGTGTATACACCCTGGGTTTCCCTGCATGATGTCTGTGTGCGTACTCTACAAGTACAGTCAACTTTGCGTATAATGACACTCGGCGGGGCTACAGAAAAGTGTCCTTATTCGCGAACTGTCGTTATACCCGAAGTCTCATTATATGTATTACAGTTGGATGGGACTTTGCTCTGGGCATGGAAATTCTGTCGTTATTCGCGAATTGTCGTTATATCCGCAGTCGTTATTAGCGAAGTTGACTGTACAAATTTTCGGGCACGAAATCTTTCGTTAGATCACTCCACCAGCAGGCTTGTTACGTACCAAATTTCGGTTTAGGTCGAGGTCTGTCACCCCGAACGTTCAGAAAAAAACTTTGGTACAAATTTTAGTTATTTCGTGCTCCCTAACGAATATAGGGTAAGTTCATTCCAAACGAAAATGTGTACTTGTACAGTAGCAAGTAGGTGTTGGGAAGGAAACATTCCCACGCACACTAAACTGAAGTTACGCTAGTAACGTGTGGCGCTAGCCAGGGTCCACACAGCTTTAATTCCGTAATTGTGCCTGATGACGGCATGCCTGGCGCTATCCTGTACGTGTACTGTACCGTACCATCAAAGACAGCTGGCCACCTAATTCAAATAGGGCTTTCAACTGCAAGATCATAACGTGAAGCAACGTTTTGGCACAATGTGTATGTATGCGAAGTGTATCGGGGGAATGCATGCAGGGCGATAGTGCGGGTTCGAATCCCATGTTCTGTTTCCAAAAAATGGAGAAAAGAAAAACGTATAACCTCGCCATGCTTTTTTGCCTAGGTCATCAAGGTTACGGTGTCGCATTATTGCAATATCGTTCGATTGTTTTGGGTGTGCTGCTAATGGGCCGGGAATGTAAGGATTGGGTAGATTGCAGTGTTTTAATGGGCGCGGTTGTTGTATAAATGCAATGCTGAGGTCATTAACAGAGGACTATGAGGAAGTGCAAAATGACAGGGGTGACAGTGTTGAAGCTCTGAGCAGATTGCGTCGTGTTCCAAGATTGAGTATATTCTACTTGGTCCGACTTATTAAAATGTGCGCTTGACTTCAAAACTCAAGCATATGTACAAAGGAGCACCTGTACTAAAAAATCAACCAAGAGACGGTAGATAGATAACTACTGTGTCGTTTCTTGGCCTGACCTTCTAGTTTTCATCGCTGTTGGTGTCTCAGGGCGCATCTGCAAGTGCATTAACCTGCAAAACGTCGACATTTTTTTCATCTCCTCCAAGCTATCCTGCGCTTCCTTGATTTTTTCACTCCATAGGCACGATTTAGAGGATCGACTTCGCCTCCTCCTCGTGCAGTACGACTGCAAGAATGGTGGCTGTAGCCTAAGTGTAGGTGTTTTCGCCTGACGCTCCCACGACACCTTCAAATGAGGCGAACCACCACGCGTAAAAAATCACTTCTCATCACCGTGTGCCAAGCCTGTACTGTCACTACTGAGTCTGATCTGTGTCGACATGTCGATGTCATCAATCAGACCATGCGTGCTCTTCCTTGCCTGTTTCACGAATCCACTGGCCCCGGAGACTGGCGATCTTGTGACGCATCGCGATAGCGGCTCGGAGGACTCCGCACCGTATCCGCCGGATAATTCATCCTTTCTGCGGTTCAGTTTTCCAGCCAGATTGTCGCCTGAAAGTCAACCTCAAGGCCGGTTATTTATTACGATCAACTTCTCGACGATCTCTTCTGTGATCTTGATTCGTCGGAAGCCACATCGTGAACGACTGCGAGAGAGATCAGCAAACTGGACGGAGCGATGCTGGTGCTTTCTGCACGAGTTTCTGGATGACGCGTTTGCTGAAATTCTGCCAAGGAAACAACGATTACGATTTCAATCCGCCAGGAGGCACCGAGAACTATCGCCCAGGAGTTTCTGGTACTCCGTGACAATCCCAAATTGCAGTGGGGTGTTGATTTCAGCACCAGGCCTTCTCTGTGTTGCGCGAGAAGCAACAGGAGTCCTCTGACGACAAAATTTGGACGCAAAAGGCTCAAGTCGCCTAGGATCCTGAGCCGCTGCCTCCTTTGGAGTTGGAGCCATTCCTTCTTCAACATCACAAATTGACAACTGAAGGATAGTGTTAGATAGCTGGATAGTTTATTCCGTCCTGAGATTATTTGAATTTGTTTGGTTGACGTTCGAAGCGAAACGCACATTCAATAAGTCGGACCAAGTACCGGTTCTTCGCCTTCCCCTTCCACTTTGATCCCATGCGCTTCACAGACCGAATGCGCTTCACTCAAAGCGGCATGGCTAGCCCCGGCTTCACATGTCACGACACTTACATGAGCATGAAAATAGAAAGGACCTCCAGGCGCGTGCACCGGGTCAAAAAAGGTGGTTTCCAAAAAAATTTCGACCGCCATTTTGCAATAAGCTACCTGCAGATTCAGCAGTATTACACGCACTAAACTTTGATTACACACTGAAAGAAAGCTTTAAAAGTTATGGCTGCCAGTCCCACCGAGACATCCAAACAAATGTGGTACAAAGGCATTTTCCTTACACAGGATAAATAAATAGGCTAGCCGACGTTATACAAGTAGTTCGAAGTAGTGAAGGAAGATTCAGACACTCTTGCTAGTCAGTGAGTCAAAGAAGGAGGTCAATTCATGTCACTGTCTGACTCATTGTGACTGTCAGCCGACACCTCACCAAATGTCAATCTTTTTGCAGCGGGCTCGTCAGCAGTTTCGTCCTCTATTGTGAAACTTGCCTCGTCACAGTCTTGAACTTCAACTTGGCTGCCGCCTTCAGCAATGCCGGTGCCGGTGGCGGAAGAATCCGACTCTCCGTCATAAACTTCACGTCGTTCCGGGTGCGACGCTGCTGTTTTTTTTTCCCAGAGAGCGGACAAAGTCTCCTGCTGAAAACTCATTGCCTTTGTCCTCAAAACCACAAACCTGAACAGTAATTTTACTAGCAAAACAGACAGCCGCTCGTACTCGAGTCCAAGACCAAAGCACCCACTTCAAAACCAAGATGAAAGCACTTGTTTCCACTTTGGACATATGCGACATGCCTGCTGTCCGCGCTTTGTCTTTGATGTCCTTGCACAAGTACAGTACACTAGCTGCACTGTGTAGTCGAGTCCAACAAAAAATGATTTGCATCGCGCGTGAGTGGACATGTCACTAGCGCCAGTACCGTAGACTAGTGGCTGTGCCTGATGACATGTACTCAGCAGTAGCGGTGGGCACATGCACTACACGTTCCCTGCCTTTCACATGCGCACGAAAAGTGCATCTACGCACACTGTGACAGTGCACGCGCATTGCGCATGCAGCAAAAATATCGCCGGCCGCAAAAAAAAGGTGGTTTCCGGACTCCAAGAAAACCACGCGGTGCACGCGCCTGACCTCGACATGACCGAAATGCTCCGGCACTAGCTGCTGGGTGCGACTGTGAGACAGATCGACCAAACGAAAACAACAGCGATCTGCCTGCAGTCAACATGATAGTTATACTAGTATAGTGCACGGTTAGGTAGTGAATGAGCGCGAGTCGTACACTGTGACTGAGCCCGAGTCGTACACTGTCGTACACTGTCGTACACTGTCGTACACATTCTATATACGCTGCATGCATATGTACGGCCAGCCAGTGTAGTGCCAAGCGTATGCTTACCTCTTCTCGTTAAATCACCGCCAGTTTCACACTCTTCTTCACCAGTGCCGCAGTAGCAACTGTTTCACCCTGCTTTTCATCGCCGTACTCTCTACTCGTCACAGGCAGCAAAGCGGGATCACCTTACTCTTGTAGTGGTAGCCGAGTGGAGGCACGCTGCACGAATTAATTTTTCATCGAACTTCAGGTACACACCTGGATTATTATGTAAATAAAAGAAGCGGCAATAAAAATAACTTTCTCCGGTACACACCTGGAGGTTGAACAGCTCTTCTGCTCGGCTTTGTTGTTGTTACAAATTCTAATGAAAACAGAAATGCGCAGCAGCTTTTAGGCAACAGAACCCGTACGCTAACGTACAGGGATACACTAAACATACGTCAGGTAAAGCTCCGTACTAGCCATGCAGGGATACTACACTCTCCACTCGTCACGGGCAGCAAATCGGGATCGCCAAGCTCTTCATGAGCCGTTTCCAAGTGCTGGTTCATGGTTCGGATTGAGTCATTGCAGTCATGGGTTATCGTGATAAGGTCATCCTGCATCATATTGCACTGATATCCACTCTCCACTCGTCACGGGCAGCAAATCGAGATCGCCAAGCTCTTCATGAGCCGTTTCCAAGTGCTGGTTCATGGTTCGGATTGAGTCATTGTAGTCATGGGTTATCGTGATAAGGTCATCCTGCATCATATTGCACTGATATCGTAATCCTGTTGATGTCGATACAACTTCCCTGACTGCTAGGGAACAGAGCTCCCACAGGCAGCTGACGCAGTAGCAGAAGGAGAAGACGACGTCGACTGGGAGACGCAGCACGATACAACAATCAAGCGACAACAATGTCTGAAGTTCACCCTAAAATCAAAACTTCACAACCTGTAGCGAACAATGCACTGATTCCAATGGTGAAAGTCCCACGTTGATTGGAGCAACCGTTCCGGAGTTATAGCATCTTCAAGTTTTGGCAAAATTCTGTGACATCATGATGTCAAATTTGCCCATCCCTGTGATGTCACAGAGATAAACTTTGGATGGGAATAGATGGTGAATAGCCAATTTCTGTCGTTTTTCGTTGCTGCAACAAGCTTTCGGGGGATATGTTTCCAGTTTAGATACCAGTAAGGTGTCATATATCCCATATCAAATTTTGAAAAATCAGTCTGTCTCAATGACGTCATAAACTATGATGCCATCATGACGTCATCGAATTTAGTCCAGACTTCCAGATGCTATAACTCCAGAACGGTTCCTCAGATCAATCTCGGACTTTCGCCATTGGAACCAGTGGATTTTTCGCTACAAGTTCTGAAATTTTGATTTTAGGGTGAACTTCCCCTTTAAACTAGAAGATACCTTTCATACTTCATAACTTGTGGCTTTTCACAGAAGGTGTAACCTGGGTGCTCTCCACCACACAATAGACATTCCCTTTCTCTGTACGCGTTGGCTCTTGCGGTTCTTCACTAAATAAACACCGCAATATAGAGTTGATCAGCGCTTGAAACCCTCGCGCTGCAGCAGCCGGATTGGCTGCGATGATGATTGCGAGTTCTTGCAGGGGTGGCAGCTGAAACTGCACATCAATACCTGCAATGCGAAGGGCTGGCGTGCTATCAATATCACTTGGTGACACTGTCCAGAACCAACGTTGTAGCCCTGAAGAAGTCACCATTGCGCACATCTTGCTGATAGAGTCGTTCCCCTCTGCTGGGCTCTGAGCTTCCGAGTTCTCTCGTTGCTCAGTCTGGTAACGCATTTCTCTAGCACTATTTCTTCCCCACATGCCTACAGACATATGTTAGTCAGTTTGCACATGCTTCATGGCACATTGATGCATACATTTGTCTGTCTATCGGCACAGGAGTAGCCGCCACCTTCCAACCTGTAGACTGTCAATCGGTACGACCAAGCGTCGTTTGATGTTGAACTCAAATCAAGAGATTACGCGCGTAACGCCCTGCATTTCCCTGGCTGGTTGACGAGGATATGTATCGACTCCTACTCACCGCTGTCCTGATTGGCATCCCCATAAATCCGGGGTACTTGCTCCCCGCCCAATAACACCCAACTACCCATGTATGCAACCTCGGGTGCAGTACACTGTACAATAGTACCACCAGGTCGTATTTGGGCCCTAATTAACACCTCGTTTTTGGACCTGTTTTGGACCTTCACTAGCGTTATCACCCTGGGCCATTAGAAACAACGGTAATGCTATTTTGTTTACGGTACTCATGCCTTGATCACCCTAAATACGGTAATACCGTTGCAACTTAACGTTTTTTACTAAGGCCTGTAAGGGTGTGTACCGTATACACTGCAGCATGGATACTTTAAATCTATACCAGCATTCAGTGATGTTACCCGTGTACCCGTGTACCTGTGTACCTGGGTGCGTGTGTGCTTTGTGTGCTGTAGAACCTGCGCGAATAGTGATCTTTCCCAAATCCATTGAGGTGATCAGTCGCATGAAGAAGCCTCCAAGCCTGCCCAGAGTCTTGAGCAACATGACTGCAGCAGCCGCAACCAACCTCACCACCAACTCCACTGATGCTAACGTCAAATCGTTCCCATGCCGATCCCGTGGCACGCGTCCGCTTCATATTGGCTGGTACCGGAACGGAGTGCTGATTCGAACCGCTAATGTCAGTTCTCTTCCGTTGGTTTTGCGCGGTAATGATAGCGATGATGCCACGTATGTCTGCAGGACGTGGAATGCGTACGGAAACGACAGCCGTGTTGTCCGAATCATCATCCACTGTGAGTGTGCTTGCGTGTGTGTGTGGTGGGGGGGGGGGTGCGTGCGTGTGTATGTGTGCATGTGTGTGCGTGTACGTGTGTGTGTGCGTGCGTGCGTGCGTGAGTTAGTGCATGCGCAGCGGAATTCCTAGAAGGCTAAGCATATCGCAAAGGACGAAACAGTACCGTCCGCAGATTGAGTAATCGCAAATGCAATGTGTTTCTGGTGGCCAACCGCTTTCCAAACTAATCTTGTTTGGCGCTTGTTGTCTTCTGTGTGGCGTAACGTTTTTTCACTCGCAGATATCTACCCGTACCGACCTCGGCACTGGAGACTTTCCTACTCATACTGGTTCATCTTGACCTTGATTCTACTGATGCTTGTTCCGTCCCTGTGCTATCTGTCGCGGTCGCGGAAAGTTCGTTACGTGTGGCGACGCCATCGAACCCACTCCGCCAGCCAATCCGGTGGTGAGTGCAGTGACCACATCAAATCTGATGCTGTGACGTGTGGCTTGTGCGGCTGTCGTGTTGGCCTGAAATGTGTCCATTTTTGGTGTCCTCCTCTCCTGCAAACTCTACCCGTTGTTCTGAGCTTGTCACGCTGTTCAGCACTTTGCCGTGTGTTTGTGTGACAGCTGTGACACTGTCAATTACTCAGCTACCGTGTTTTCCTAGGTTGAGTCTGAATGGGTGTGTGATTCGAATCTTTAGGAATGTTATGTTCAACTGAAGTGTAAATAGTTATATTAATTCTAATTCCATTGTCAATTAAGACTGTTGGGTCGAGAGAGAGGTCACTTGTTTCAATGAGCCGGACAATGCGGGAGTGGTATTCATCTCATGCGTACCATTGCTTTTGCATGAAATGCCTCATCAACAGAGCTGACCTACCCAACCAAGGTGGCTTGCTCTCTTGGTGATGGTGCTTAGCAGTTTGCACCTTGTGTAACACACTGGCAGGAATGAATTTTCAACCTGCTGATGTAACGCTGATCTATTGTCATCTTGTACAAAAGTGAGCTGTGGCATGCGCTATTCTTTCTGTCTTCCTGAACTGTCCTTCTTTCTTTCGTTTTGTTTCTCTGTTTTTGTTGTCTGGTCAATCTTGAGCAGGTTCCACATCCGGTTCGATACCGCCACCATTGTATGATAACCTGCAGAGCAATGAGTATCCGCAGTCACCGCCGAGCACTCGCGCTACCACTAGAGCAGGCACCGTTGCCACAGGCAGTACGGCTCAGAGCGGCGGTGGCGGCGGCGGGCTACGCCTGCTGACGCGCTCCAGCGTCTCAACAATAGCCAGCGGTGATGACATGGATAACATACCCTTGGCTGCTGCGGTGGACAGCACACTGTGATGTACACATGCACCGTGCTGAACCGGTCCCGTTGGCCAGGCCATGCCTGGACCAACTCTGTGGACACCAGCATACGTTTACTGCTGAGGAAGTCCTGCGTATGAGTCATAATATTACGACGGGTAGGCATGACCTCCTCAGCAGCAAACATATGCTGGTGGCCACAGATTTGGTCCGTACATGGCCTGGCGAACCAGACCGGTTATCACATACAAACTGTCTGAAAGGCTAGGGTATGGCCGGACCAACCAAAAACTGTTTCCGTGGATCTTGGCACACGTGACTGCAAGCATCCGTTGTTTCCACTTCCAGTTCAGTGACCCTCTACTCTCTGTTAGCCTGTCGTCACTGCGTCAGATAGAACTCTGCAGGCATTCACATGGCAATGTGCTCATATTATTCTTCCATTGTGCTGAGCGAAATCCAGAGGCTGTGAGCACCACTGCAACCAAGCACAGGGCGTAGGCTATGTAGTGCTGTGCCGGTACTCACGCAGCGCCAGGAACTCACTGAACGGCACAGTACAAACATTGTATACCCCCCCCCCCCCCCGAACCCCAACCCCTGAGTCCACATCTATCTCTAGGACTTTGTGGAACTGTCTATTCCCGTCCTTGCTAGTACTTGTAACATACTTGTACAATGTCATCTTGACACTAGGATATTAAACACGCTAACAAGAAAGAGACTTTTCTATTTCTAGGCCGAACGTAACATTCACCAACCTGCAATCTCCGCTCTAGACCTCTTGGAGTGATTTTCTCCTTCAATTTTACTCCCTTCTTCTCTGTTCTTTCCTTGCTTACAAAGAGAAGCCCTTTACAGGCCGTTACAACCTGTGGGGAATTGTTTTAGTATAATTATATGAATTATAAAATAGATATTCAAGTTCATTTTTTCCATCCTCACTTTGTAGACATTTCCATGATTGCAGCGGAGTACTAGGCATCAGCAGTTTTGAAGTTTATTTATTTTATTTATCCCGCTCTCTATTGCCAGCATACCAGTACATGTACCGGTAGATATGCTTGTTCGATAGTCCGCCGAGGCAGCAGGCGTAGCTGTGACAGTATCGGACTATCATGGCTAAAATAATTTTTTTTAAATGTCGCCGTGTCGTGCAATCAGGACCATGGCCATGCCGCCGGTCTCATTGGCTCATGCGATGAGGGCTGTGTGCCATTCACCCGTGCATTATGGCATCGGGTAGGGGCTTACTTGGTCACTATGATCACAGATAACACACCGGTGTAGTTGCATTTGGAGAAAAACGAGCGGTCGATCGAGGCGGCGGCCAGTTTTCTGTGCAAAATGTTTCAAACTACACACTGTGCAACAATAGCATGCTCTTTTAAACCAAATCTTTCATCTTCGTTCTTGCAACAGCTGATAGCCGTGTGGCACATATCGGTACAGGCAAAATACCAGCGGCAGAGGGAGTATTTAACTGAGAGGGTACACGTCTCACAACAGACGGTACAAGTGTCAACAGCTCCGCTAGCCACATCGTTCCATGCGGCTCTGTTCTGCGTCAACAATCCGTAAACACGTTCACACCGCAGGAAAGATGCATAGCTGAGCACACATAACGCACGCACACACACTGTAACACAGAGAGACGAGTATACCCGCACAGAACGCATCCACGCCCAAGTTTTCGCGTGTGCACACACACACACACACACACACACACACACACACACGTATACTATGGGTGAAATCAGGCTGGGCAGCATTTTCAACAAGTAAGTTCTTGAGCAGATTTATAAAAATTATGCAGCATGCTGTCCGCAGATTGAGTAAAAATTAATAGGGATTTTTTGAATAATTTTGCCTGTGCACACTTAAAGGGGAAGTTAAGGCAAAAATTAAAATTTCACCAGTTGTAGTCTTCGGGGTGCTGAGTCGAATGGTCTTGGTCCGAGAAAGCTGAGACGCTCCCTTCCTACTTGAATCCCAATCGAACTCGCGCACTTCCACCGAAACTGGGTGACTGCGCCCTACTAGATGGGGATTTGTATGCAAAATGTCACTAAAAGCGCCGTTTCGTTCTTATAAAAGCACGGATGACCGCGATTGGCCCATATGTTGTAGTCTTTTGGACGCTGAGTCGACTGGTTTTGGTCCGAAAAGGCTGCGATGCAGCGTTCCTCCTTTATTCCCAATCGAACATGGTTGAAGAAGCGGTCACGTGCTCCTGGGTGCCCAAATCACCTGGTCACCACGCCAGCAGGCGTCAACTTTCACACCAAGGTTCAACTCGAGTTCAACTCGAGTGACAGGACTGCACCCAAAAAAGGTCAAACAGGCTAGTAAGTATTAGTTGTACCCTGCAGGCACGGTGACCAGCTGACTGGTGTACGCAGGAGCACGTGACCACTTGTTCAACCATGTTCGATTGGGAATAAAGGAGGAACGCTGCATCGACCAGTGTGCGTGGGAATCAGCAGTATCCCACGGATGCTAGCATTCTCTCATGGTTTTCATCCAGTGCAGGATTTTGTTCACTCGGCTGCATTCTTGCATTGCTGGTTTGCGTAGCTCTCGCGTTAGTCAACATGCTGCTGCTAAAGCCTGGTTCACACTAGGCCGATTTTCCGGCCGATACTCCGACACCGACTCCGACACGGAGTCTGCCGACTGTGTCGGATGAGTCGGACTAGCTGTTCACACACAAAGGTGGGCAATTGTACTTTAGTTGTACATGTAGGCTTGTCTGTTACACACGTACACGCGGTACACAGCCGCACTGCCACTAGACAGTAGACGCTATCTAGACAGCGGAAATGAGATAGTTTTTACACGAGCCACAAAGCCAAAGCGGCAAAGGTGTGAAAGAGCTAGCGTCTACTACAGTACTGGTACTGTAGTAGCAATCCAGTGCAGCCAGTTCACATGGTTCACGGTCTGCACCAACGCTCTCCGCTGTAATGGGGCTGTTAAGTGTGACGTCACGGCCCCTTCGATACGCATAGCAACGGAGAGCACTGGGGACAAACAAAAGTCGCGTCCTCTGGATGGAACCAGTTGTCAAGGGCAACAGCATCTAAATGACTGGAGAGAGAACAGTTTTTCTTTGCTTTTTCTTCAAGCGATTGTTGTCGCTCTTTACTCCTTGTTCTTTCCTCTACAAATCTCCTGTAGTCGTCGAGGGCCTTCATAATGGCTGTGAAATTGGCTGCCCACTGTAAAACTCCGTGTTTGAGAGTGCTTTGAAGATTCTTCGCGTCCTGATGGATCAAAGTACGAGCGCTCCCTTGTGGATTCGATTATATGTAGGTGAGTTGTTCAAGAAATCAGTGTCTTCTTTCTGTCTCTGCCCTCGCGCTGGCACAAAATCAGCCTCTATATCCATGACAGCTCGCACCTCCCGTAAACTGCATGACTTAGATATATTCTCGCCCTCCGTGGTGATTGAAGACCCATGGAAGAAGTTATTATGTTCAGAATGATGTCCTGATAATATAAAATAAAATAATTCCATAGTCCATTTCAAAACTATAGACGGGTACCTAGGCAAAAACCGTTATGCCAGCATCTATACCACATAAAATCTGTGATCACTTTGTGCATAAATTTTTCCAAATTGGGCGTCTGTTATCCAATCGTTTAGAAACTATTATTATGAGAGTAATTGTGGAGCGGTCCTGAGCAATATTCCGAAAACTATTCTCAAAAAGTTCCAGCCAAATTTGAAATATTTCAAAAACCCTACGCGTCTATAGTTTTGAAATGGACTGTAGGGAATTGTTACAGGGTATTTTGGAAGGATGGAGAGAGAGAGAGAGAGAGAGAGAGAGAGAGAGAGAGAGAGAGAGAGAGAGAGAGAGAGAGAGAGAGAGAGAGAGAGAGAGAGAGAGAGAGAGAGAGAGAGAGAGAGAGAGAGAGAGAGAGAGAGCACTGTTTGAAGTGTTTGTCTCACTGTAATTACTCCAGATTATTGAATGGTGTAAGATCTACTCGATATTTTCCACAATGGGTTTTCCTGATTTGCGGGATCTCTTCTTTTGCTGTTTGCGTGTTTACAGGAAGTGACTGTCTGGTGTATCTGCACCAGATCCTGGGGAAACGAAGTCAGAGGCAGGGTCGTCCAGTGACGCAACACTGCCGTTCTATGTGCAACGTCACCGCTAATTCCCCGGCGAAAACACAAAAAGACAAACACGTCAAGAGACTACAGAATTGACCGTTCTGGTAATGAATCGTGACTGCTCGGACAGTCGATAATCGAAACACAGAGCACCAGCATGATGTTTTCATATTGGGAACCACACACCAGCTCAATTCTCAAGCCCAAAATTGATGAATACAAAACACAGAGCGACGCAACAAGAGATCATCCGGCAACCAAACCAACCTGGGTCTAATGCACTGAATAGTCCTGAAATACACAGGCCACACAAAGCAGTGCAAGCACATACTGTTACAAGGTACATGCATTGCAGAACAAAGTGTAACCAAAGATACACAGGTCTATAGCTGCACACTCGTGCATGTGCTCGCTCAGCCCAAGAACACGCATGATGATAGAAATAATCCGGAGGAAACACGCGAGCACCAAAGTAAGCATAAAGACGTAAATAGTGCAGCTCTGAAAAAGTAAAAATTACATTGACATGTACATTGGTGTGCCGAGTAGTATCATCCTTGATTACCCATCCAACCAAGAAGTTATCAGGTCCCAGACGCCGAGATCGCACGCCGAATGTGAAGTGCATCTAGCCTTGAACCTGTTGCACAAGGCACACACATATGACAAAAATGACATCCACTCCGATTATTTCCAGAGGCCAATCATAACAGAACACAGAAATGAAACCACGGGCTCGACAAAGTAAACGCAAAGGAAATTAGTTAAAATAATCCATGAAGTGCTATTTTAATTTCAGCGCTGACTGCAGTGTGGTGTCGTAGCCCGATACCCGCTGAGCATAGACAAAACTCCATTTGGCAGGGGCAAGACAAACTATTTTGGAATAAAGTCATAAAGTACAGCATTCCAATGACATGACGGACACCTCGTGCAAATGCGTGGTCTGTTCATCCGGCCAACTCGGCCACGCACGAGAGTGTGTGCATGTACGTGCGCACGCAAGCGCGCGCGTGCACACACACCATGTATTTGGTGCTTATGGCGTACCTGTTGCGAAGATATGACGATGGAATCATTATCATGATGTTGCATGTACATGTACAGTGTATGTTTTGAGTGTAAAGTAAATTTTATTTTATTACACATTTCTTCGACACAACTTACTCCACATCTTCGCATTTCTCATAATCCATCCACCTACACTCCGTCTCAGTTGAGGAAAAACTCTCCCAGGTATACACTAGTCACCACAGCCATGTGATGACATTGGGATGGGTCCCAAGCACGATTGCACTCTCCAGTTACAATATAATTTATTCCCGTAGCTATGCAGAAGACGTTACTTCAGTAACGTCTGGCGCTAGCCAGGGTCCACACAGCTTTAATTTGGTGTTTGTTTGTTTGTTTGTTTGTGTCACGCCTGGCGCTAT